TCTGTGTACTTTGTAGCAAAGTAAACACTTCGCAGACTAGTTAGTCTAATATGAGGTAAGAAGCCTCATACATTTCCTTTCACCACTTAATATATATTTATTTATTTTTTAGCCGAATTTTTTTAACACTTTGTTGTCTGGAGAAGGACTGTTAGAAAGATGCTGGAGCTACTCACTTCTCCTGAGCCATCAGTAATTACTGATCGTTGTTTCATGTTTTGATTCTTCATTTCTTTCCAACCTTGTCCCTTGAAGATCAGTCGGATGACGTCCATCTATTGATAGCTTTACACTCACTTCCGCTTTGTTTGGCTCATCTGGACAGGATGACACTGGCAATTACCAAACAAATGCGACCCGCATAGGATATTAGTCAATCTCGGGAGTTTAAGTCAGACTGAGGCTGTGCATTCTGCAGTTCTATGGATCATATGGGTATGCTGTCCCCGCACATCATTCACAACGGGAGCCGATGGCTTGGGTGGCTGGATGAGTTTAGGTAGAACTACGGGAAAGCGTCACATTATTACTCTGGCCTAGCTTGCTCCGTACTTAGTTACCTTTGTGTGGCGGTTGCTTAAATGGCTTAATAAAAAAAACCCTCTTCATCCACACAATGAGGGGTAATGAAAGAGAGGGCCTGGAAGTGGGCTACTAATGAGATAGTCGGCGGCCAACGTCACTAGAGAACACAGAATGTCTAATATAGGGTGTTAGGGATCGACCCTTTTTCGGGGTTTCGCCCACCAGTTGCATCTCATACGGCCAATGCCAATGCACGGGTTGATTCTCTATCCTCTCTGCCCTGACTGCCCTTTTCTCTGGATTATAGCACTTATTCCCTCGATCAAATACATCTTGTGGGATCAACTAACGGGTACATTGACCATTTTACAGCTTTTCCGACAATGACGGGGCTGAAGCTTGCATATCAGATTTCTCTTGCCTACTCCGGAGTAAGCCACTGACGGGTTGGACAGGCTATGACAACATTCTTTCTAGATATTACTACACAGTAGTCAATGGTGGGGAAATGGTCAGATTTTCTCGTGGCGGTTACCTCACTTGAGGAGGTTAATGGGTATACTTTGGAGCTGTTGATGGCTTTGTCTTAACTTCGAACTTTGGTCTGTGATCAGATCATGAGTTTCTCTACCGAATTATGAACTGGAAGCGACTATTTCTCATGCACATGGCCCTTTTTGGCTTTCTACCTGAGGGATCCGCGTGGGGTCAGCAGATGTCAAGGTGAATTGACGACCGAGTGCTAAGGCTATCATCGACAACTCTTATTGATTTATCTACAACTACTACTATTGCTATCATTTCCTTTTATTCCCCCCATTCTTTTTTCCTTCTGAAAAGTCATCCACCGCCAAACATACCTACCAAAACAAAACACCTCGAGCCACGTGATGATCAATACTTCTTTTGTCAATTTTGACATGGGAAGGTATGCATAACTGTTTACAATGCTACATCCACCAGGCCTCGTATATCCGTACCAATGCTCCAGCGCAGACGACATCGGCTTATTAGAGCTAGTACTCCGGACCTCGGCTGTGGCTGCCGTCCCCGGAGTGTCTTGGAGCATGATCCAAACCTAATAGCTTCACAGATCTCCGTAGAGAACCAATCTGTACCTAGGCATTTGTAATTTAAATTGCAAATTCCTACCTAGGGTTAGCTAACTGAGCATGGAGCGAGATGCTTTTCCCTTTCTTTTGACCTCTAATCTCCCCTCAACGGCGGTGGTAGATGGTACCTAACCCTAATCTATACAACTGACGTAAATCGACCAGCATTATCAAAAAAATGCACGAGGGATTTTTGAGACCAATCACAGGCCAGAAGAAAAAGCTAGGGTAAAGAAAACGGCCCCGTCTAAAATTACTTACCACGCTGCATCATGGTGAGTGGGGCGTTCCCGATGGAATCTGTACTGTACCACGCTAGTTGCCTTAGTAGTACTGCAACTGACACGAAGTGCCTCGCTCATATCCAGAGTTAATCCTTATTATACCTGCAGGAGGGTATTTTCTTTCCTCCACCCCCAAAACTCTTCAATATGCCAGGTTACCAAGGGGTTGAACTGATCTCCGATACCGCGGCTATATTACTGCATATAGATACCGTATTAGATCGGAATTGACTGGATGGTTCAAATTGTTTATGGGTGATTAGAAAAAGAAAGATGCGTTAATCTCGGAAATCAACCCATCCGTTTCCGATGGGTGCGGGTACTCGTTACTGTTGTCCTTTAACATCTTTTGATATTACTCGATATAACCCATGATCCACAGCACACTTCTTGGTCACCCGATGGTTTGAGTTTGACGAGTCGGTCAAAACCCCAGCTATTGCCTTGATGCTTGGAGTAGGGACTCAAGTATAGAAGTGTTCGTTCAAGTTGTATGTGACGGGGTCAGGTTCACCGCCAGGTCTTTATAACCCTCCTATCGCTCACCACATGCTTCAATGACTGCACACAAAATATACACTCCTGGACACAGCGAGCGGTGTACTTGATTGCTCAGGGGTGGGAGTCAAAAGCAGGGATTACAACTCTGTACATAGGTATCATGATTGTGGATGGACTTACTGAAAGTCTTAATTTGCCATATTAAACCACTCCACAAATCTTCCCATATGAAAGCGACAATTTTCAATCCATCTAGGGTGATAGTAGTCTATTATCAGTTAAACGATTGGCTCGGGTGGAGGGTTAAAACTAGGAGACTTCCCGTAGTCGGGAAAACCCTCACTGTGTCTGTACCATAGTTTTATTTTATTTTATTCCCTTCTTCTTTCATCTCTCGAAACCTTCCGTTAACTACTCCATACAACTAGTACACTGCGGTCAACAAAGCGGGGCCTAAAGGGCTGGCAGTCTACTTTACGCAGTACGCAGTTTATGGGGCTCCCCTTCCTTAAGCGAATGAATCGCCGCGAGTCAAAGTTCAAGCTTCGTGCATCCCTTTGGCCTGCCCGAACAAGATTAAGCTGTTTCTGAAACTTAACCCTTTGTGTGTGGAGCATGAGCCGTTTCTCTTGCCAGTTGATGTTGTACACTGCATTAGAATTTGTCAGGTGATATTCGGCATGATCATATGGAATGAACTGTAGGCACATTGTACCTCTCATGACTTGAGACCTTCACTTTTGATAAAAGACATTTTGAGCAGGGTGGTTCTGTCCAGTATTTGGATTAGCACAATAATTCCTTTTCAAGTGGTGTACAGCAGTATGAACTGGTCTCCCCCGTACTACCGAATCGTGCCTTTTCAGTCCTGTAATAGGCTTGTATGGGTGATTGAATTGTCTTTTTTGTCACTCGAAAGACTATGACCCCTACCCCTAACTTTAGCAAAATCAAGTCCAAATACCTACGAGTAGCTGGGTGTGTATTTACCCAAATCATGGGAGAATTTGTGAATATTACATAATAACACTGATAATTAATTAACTAATATTAGAACTGGCCTCTCATTCCCAAAGCTACCTTGTGCTAGGCTTCTTTACAGTAACTTGTTCTGGAGTGAAGGCAATGATTTAACTGGCGGACATCATCGTCTAATGAGCAAAGGCCTGGTGATCTTGCTCTAATATTGATTTGCTTGAACGTGTGATTTCTAAACCATCTCGGGGACGGATGACCTCAGTCTGAATCATTCGTATGTCATATTTATGGTCAGAGCTCTCATTGACATTGATCAATATTACGTCTTTTTAGAAAAGATTAGCTTCCTGAAAGCAGCTCCATATTGCTATAGAAATCATTGCTATGAGTAGAACCTCCTCTTACCTCAAAACGACCGTTTCCCGCTAGTTTGCCTACTCACGAGCTACCTCACGATAACCTCAAGTCGAAGATATCAATAAGTCAGAAAACCTTGGCATACTATACAAAGTATCAATCTGCAGATAAGCTACCTGATAGGTTGTATCAAATGTACACAGAAGTCGGATTGTACCGATCATGAACCAAGCAAATATAGAAATGAACCCTTCGAATTGCATCATATCGACCGATCTAATCTGGAACATTATCGAAAACCTAATTCGCCGCATATATAAGGATGACGGCCATCTGATATTAAAAGTGCGTTGGAATGGGGGAACTGAAACGCTTAAATATTCGTTATTGTTCCCGGTCAAGCCACTTCGTAATCCTCCATAGCATTCTCTATATATGCCCACTACAAATACGTTGTGTATATTCCTTATAACATCGCCAGTAGTTAGAATAACCACGTCGAATCCTTAAGAAAGAGAAGCCGAAGACCGCTACGAGGCTCAGAATGATTCCTCCCCTATCAGCAAAAGTAACATCGTACGTGGCGACCGCCTACGTCATGCAAAGCCCCGTACTCAGGATGGATATAGCGGAGGACGTGATGAGGACGACCTACCCGAGGATGTTCGTTATGGACAGTCTGGAGGGTCTGCCATGGGTGGAATTTTCTAAAGTTTTCAATGATTATCCAAAAGCCTGATGTGCAATTCATCTCAAGTGAAATCATGGGCAATATACTGTGCCATAATGTATTCGACAAACAAAAGTTCTTATATGCGTGGTTATTGATTTGGTACTTGTTAATCGCATAGTGAGAAATCAGCCGCCATAGAGCCTGAGAGAGCCGGTTATCATCCTTTGACCCATAGCTTGCATCTAGTAATTTGATGCATATCACACAGGTGCATCAGCAACACGGCTATGGTACAGCCCCTGCGCCTAGAGACTCCTGGAAAATACTAGCCGCACGACGACCCTTCCGGGTCGATAGTAATTCCCGGGTTAGGCTGCGCATATCTTTGATGCGTCTTTCATAGCACTGCCTTGGGAGAAGCGAGGCACGTTGGTTAACCCCGGAATCTATCGAATTCTCTTTCTGTAGATACCCGACAAGTTGATCTCATGTCTACTGCACGATTGGCTTCTTCCACTTCGAAGAGGCAGAGACGACCAAATTGATGGAGACCCTAGAGTCCACCAGTTCTCATGACAGGACACGCGTCTGTTAATGTGTCAGCGCCTAAGTTGAGCTGAGCAGGGATGACAGATATACCACAAATTGTTCCAAAGACTCCTCGAAAAGCTCATTATTTACACCTACACCACCCGGATGTTCGACCGGGGACAACGGATTCTTGACCACTAAGACAATTTCCTCACATTAGCGTCCGGTGAAGTCTTCCAATCCGTGAGCTTGCATACCATATTCAACATAAAGATTGATATAGATCTGCTGCAATGCAATTCGCATGCTTGGACTCTTGACATCGGTAAGCATTACGAATTTGATGTTGGTAGGCGTCTCATAATAATGGAGCTTGTATTGATTGGTATGGTAGGTAACAAAGCTGAAGACCAGGTTTCGACCGTCAGTATCAGCCTCTTCTACCGAGTTGGCAGTGATATGGGGGATTGTCCTCACCTATCATCCTCACCCCCTAATTTGCGCACCATATTACGGAGGGAGAAGACGGTGCCGAAGATCAGCTTAGCATCGTCGTCGGTAGTCCGCGCAGATTGGCCCAGCACAGGCGGTAATGCATTGGGAGTGGCAGGTGTTTCTGAAGTTGGACGCGAGGACTTTCCAATAATTGATGGCGGACGGGGCACCCAACGTCGTTTGTATATACATTCCGCTAAGAATATGAGAGCAGTCAGTTAATATACCTTTGTTGAGGGTTGGGTAAGAGGCAGAGGCACGTACCATGGCGGTCAAAAATGTAAAAGGAATAAACAACCATTCCGGTCAAGAGATAGCAGACAATTCACCACAGAAGGATACACAAGTTCTGACCTGACGAAGGAAAATTAAAGCGCGGTGATCTAAAGGGGAGAAGGTTGTTATACAAAGATGTAATCCCAGAGACCGTTGAATTAGGCTCGTTTAGGTGGACGGATCGGTATGCTCGTGGGCGGTGAGCGATCCAAAATAAGATCAGATGTTTGTTTATCGATAAAGATTGACTTGTGCCTGAGGATCCCAATTGGAAAGTGGAAATGGTCAAGATTCCTTTTTTCTTCCCTGTTTTGTTTATAGGTATCACTATTATACTGTAGCATCATCCTTCTTATTTCCCTCTAGTCCCCATTTCTTCTTCATCTGTGTCCCCTTCTTTTTTTCCTGTGTATTTTCCCCAACTTGCACGTTCAGCCGTCTACTACTTCTCCTATAGGCCCATTAGAACGTCCCAGCGTTGTCGCCTCTTGTTCTCTTGTGCAGCCCACTTTCTTCCCCACATCTGCCTAGGCATCCGGGTTTCGCGTCTCTGCTATCTCAACGGAGAATTAGACATCCCTAACTTAAAAGTTCTCGCTCTGGTATTTTGGGGATCGCCCTGTTACCTTTTCGTTGTTCATCGTATTCAATGGCCAACGAATATGCCTACCCCTCTTCGCAGGATGCTAATCAATCTTCCGGTGGTCGCCCCGGTCTTCGTCATCCGCGACCAGTTCGTTATGCGTAAGCTCTACATCACTTTGATCTTCTTCTCCCATTTCCTTTTCTACGTTTCGTCTCCTGCGGGTTCCCAGCTATTCTATTATAGAGTGGGTTGCTAAAAACCACGGTTTTAGCTCGACACCTTCATATGAGAGTCCACGAAGGCATTATCGCCGAAACCCAATAGCCAGACGCCCGGTCAAGGTGGTTCTTCAGAGAATATGTTTCATTTCTCTCTGTAGGAAGCTAACTGGACTGGCGGTAGGAAACTCTGGATGCTCGATCTGAATATACCACCAGCCAGGATGATGGTACCGCTGAACACAGAATCAACCAATATGTGATTAAACAAGAGATTGGCAGGGGCTCTTTCGGAGCCGTGCATCTTGCTACGGATCAGTTTGGGAATGAATACGTAAGGCCTTCTTTCTGTCTTGGTAGCTTGGTTATGGACTTATACCGTGACATGAAGTACAAAGGGAAAACAAAACTCCCAGCTAACAACCTATACGCTGAGCAAGGCCGTCAAGGAATTCTCCAAGGCACGGCTTAGGAAACGCGCACAGTCACACCTGTTACGGAGACCTCGAGGTCCTAAGCGCCCATCAGATGGCTTCAATTCCCCACTTCACCGTCGTTCGCTGGAAGATCCAGATGAAAAGAGAAATGCCCTTTACCTTATCAAAGAAGAGATAGCTATCATGAAGAAACTGCATCATCACAACCTGGTGTCTCTGATTGAGGTCTTAGACGACCCGACGGAGGATTCTTTATACATGGTTATGGAGATGTGTAAGAAAGGGGTGGTTATGAAGGTTGGGCTTGAAGATAGAGCCGACCCATATGATGACGAGCTCTGTCGCTGTTGGTTCCGCGACCTGGTCCTGGGAATAGAATATCTGCACGCTCAGGGCATTGTACATCGCGATATAAAACCAGATAATTGCCTAATAACGAGCGATGACGTTCTCAAGGTAGTGGACTTTGGGGTATCCGAGATGTTCGAGAAAGACTCCGATATGTTCACGGCGAAATCGGCTGGCTCGCCTGCTTTCCTCCCACCAGAGCTATGTGTTGTCAAACACGGGGATGTCTCGGGGAAAGCGGCCGACATATGGTCTATGGGTGTTACGTTGTACTGTTTGCGGTACGGTAAATTGCCCTTCGAGAAGCAAAGCATCTTTGAGCTGTATGAGGCTATTAAGACTGACCCAGTGGCATGTGAGGGGGAAACCGATGAAAACTTCAAGGACCTGATGTCACGGATTCTGGAGAAAGATCCTACCAAAAGGATCCAAATGAGTGATCTGCGAGTAAGTGAGACGAGCATTTTCTACTCCCACAACAAAGCATTGCTCATAGAAAGAAACTCAGGAACACCCCTGGGTCACAAGGGATGGAATAGACCCACTGTTGCCGGAGAGCGAAAATACTGCTGAAATAGTTGGACTCCCTACTGAAGAGGAAATGAACTCGGCTATCACAAAGACTATTGGTCATGTCCTAGCTGTGGTAAGCACTGTACAGATTTTATTGCGTCTTGAGGCAAGCTAACAAGGAGCTACAGATGAAAGCCGTGAAGAATTTCAAGAGACTAATTGACCCTGCCAAGGCAGACCCACCTATGCAGAGTATTCTTGGACAAGAGTATGAGACGCACTTTGTCCAACCACCCCTTGAAATGGAACCAGAAGAAAGTTTCGCAGCTGGTACTGTTTCAAATTCCAACAAAAGCCAGAGCCTAAACACGTACAATAGAAATGCCTGGAAACGTGATGACGTTCTCAAAGGGTATCATCTGCATTGCGAAGAGCCACGCTTACATCAGCTCCTAGACAGCACAGACTCCAGTATCTCTGGGAGACAAGGGTCTGTGTTTTACGATAGCAGTAAGCAGACTGCAAGCGTCAGGCCTGAGGGAAGTGACTCGGGCTACATACCTAGCAGCAAAACACCAGGGGCATCTTTCGATGACTTGCAGACCATAACCACACCTGGATCCTCATCCCCACAAGTTCCACTGTCGAGGACAAGTTCGGTCCTTACTAAGCGCAGCATAGAGGGAACACGTGGGCATGCACGAGATCCTTTGGAGGAGGAGTTTCCGTTCTTGTTCATTGGGCCTTCTACTTATACCGGCTCGCCACCTACGGATACTGGCGACTCCGAGATGGACTACATCTTTGATGAACCGGATAGCATGCTATCTGCAGAACCTTCTGAAATCGACCCGTGCCCTGTTGTGAGCGAATCACCGGGTGCAGCAGAGTTTGATATCTATGAGACCGCATATCGGCAGGAGATCGAACGTATCCGAATCCGCAGTCTTCCTCGTCAGGGTACTACGCCGAAGGTGTACCTCACTCGGCGCGTGGAAGGAAAAGATGAAGTAATGAAATTAGTAGAAGAAAAGATCCCTGGCACAGTCCCCGAAATTGGCAAAAGGCTCGCTAAACCATCGGGTCCAAGTCTGAGTTCCGCCGTGAGTGCGATAAGGGCTCAGCTAGAGCTGCAAAAGCAGCAACAAATGCAAGGCATGGTGGCTAGAGCTCCACATCAAGAATAGCTTCTGTTCATTCAACATTCTGCCCCACTAACTGCATCCATAGCGTTTTCACATATCGATACGCTCAACAGACTTCGATGTTTCAATCTTGGAGAACGCTACAGCCGTGGACAGATGTCACACTAATCCTTGCAAGTATCGCCGAAATTGAACTGTCTTCAAGGCTTTTTTTCCCTGAGGGTACTGCAGAATTTGGGGGAGGAATCTCCACGCGACCTTTGTTTGTCATTCCCCTCTGATATCTGCATACTGGCAGCTATGTAATGACAAGTATCTTCCGATGTCCAAGACTATGCCTATGCCATACAACATACCATATATATATATACTTTGGAAGAGCAACAGCGCTTGTGCACATAATTATGCTGTACAATTTTGCATGCTATCCGTAGGCATATTGCCTGTATTCTTGTAGATGTGAGGGATGCTACGATACCTTGTGGAATGGCTTTCGTCTTATAAAAGGCTAGATCCATCCATACATATACCAGACCTATACCACATTAAACATAAATTTACACGACAGGGCATTAACATGTGAAACTAGTCGCCAATTCGGAGACTAGGAAGCCGAATAAAAGGGAAGAAAGAGGTCATGAAGATTAGATCAAATCGTGCCGCCTTGAAGATATCCAGCATTCTGTTGAATTGAAACCTTTCGTGCCCCCAGAGAAATGGTCAAAAACCAAAACAGTGAGAGAGAGGACAAAGAGATTACTGTCCCGGAAAAAGTAGAAAAAGGCTAAAGAATGAAGTAAAGGTGCAGAAATCACTAGATGAAAAAGCGTGATATTCATATCAACCCAGTTCGTTGGAGAGCATCAGCATCAGCATCAGCACTTGAATTGAACGGAATAAAATAGTATTAAGTTATCCGCAGGGCTCGTTCGTAAGTGACAAGGTGTTGACTTGTCCTATGTTAGTTCTATGAACCAGAAACACGTACAGGACAAAGTCAGGTTCACTGGCTAGACCAGTAATGATATATCAGGCTTGCCAGTTCAGATATGATGATAAAATGAAGAGACGCCCAAGTAATGCGTTGCTGAGTTCATTTATCCACCCAAAGAATTTGAAGCAAAAGGAATTGAAATAAAGAACAAAGCAAGTGCTGTGGTGCATGCTGCTCGTAATCTTCATTTTTTAGTAACTCATCGCAGGTCGTAATATGAGATTTGTGTTCAAATCAATGCGATCTATGGTATAACCGACAGTGTAATTCATTCATCATGTCTCAATAGCCTTTTAAACTAGCGAACTTATATGATCAGATAAGCAAAATATCGAAGGTCATTCGGCTCGTTTCTCGACCGAAGTGTGCAGAGGCACCTCCGGAACTGAGATAGGTGGTTCATCTGGGCATCTATGAAGGAGAGATCTTCGGCTGCCATCACCGAAGGATATCCGATCTGGCGGGGATGCTTCAAATGGTCGCTCCGCAGGCTCCATGCGCGAGATCGTTTCCCTCTGGCCGGAATGTAGTGTTTGTGGGGAAGGTAGTGTCTGTATCATTTCCGTTGGTCGTGGCAAGTCTCTCGCCGGATGTCCTATGTCACGACGGGGCGCATCCATCATCCCCTGATTTTCATTTGGCCCTGAAAGTCTTGGGGGCCTTCCGGGCGGGGGTACGTAATGCAGATCAGATCGTAGTACACTTGGGTGTCGACTACCACTAGCATGAGGAATGAACGAGGCAGCCAGAGGTTCGATGTTTGAGGAACTGGTTGGTGTAGAAGGAGCTTTCATTTTGCTTAAGCCAGTTCTCCTCGAAGGTGGATATGCTTCTCCACGAGCTTCAGCGGCTGCTTTTCGTCTCTCTGATTCGGCTTTGCTAGGCCGACCGCGCTTGCGTGGTGGTTCACCTCGGGATGGCATACTATCCGAACCTGGGGACAACAAGGCCGACGCGCCACTCTCACTGCTGAACGAAGCTGTGCTGGTCGTTGGTCGGGGTTGTATCGCACGCGGAGCTAAGGTTGGTCTGTCCGATGGGAAAAGAAAACGCTTTCGGGTTTGGCTGTTGTCAAGCATAGGGGCTGGAGTTGCCGAGGATTCATGGCGCGGAGGAGGAAAGGATGCAAAGCTTGGGTTGATAGGTAATTGAACATGTTGTGGACACATACTGTAAAATGCCACCTGACAGGAGTTCAGAGAACGGCCTAAACGAATGATATCAGCAAAGCTGGGTTCAAACTTCGAAGTATCCTTCTTTGCGAAACAGCCAGAAAACGGTACAGGTAGGGCGTGAGTCTCATAAAGTCGAGCTTCAGAGTAGCAAAGGGCAAGTGCAAGGTGCCAGCAGTCTGTACCTGGAGGAAGGGGTATATCCGCCCAGCTTGGGGTGATATTGAAATCTTTGACCATCTTAACTAGGTGACTAGAGGGGACCCCAGCCTTCTTCAATATTTCAGTAAGCAAAGTGTACTAAATCTCAGAATATCTACCATCAGCAAACCGTTTGTATAGATAATAATGCACGGGGCTTTCGGAGTTCATCGGTGAGAAGAACAAGTGGTGAAGTCAAGTAAAAATTTGTGAACCGTCGACATTAAGATCAAAACAGAAAGCAGTAGAGGATAAAGATATAATATCCTTTCTTACCTTCTCCTCCTCGGTCCATGGTCGTTCTGGTAGATTCGACATATCCAGGTGACCATGGAAGCGAATACAGCCGGCTTCCCTCAACAGATTATCCGACAAACAATCCAGAGGGGGGAGGAAGAAAGAGGAGCCCAGAGGAGTCAAGCTATAACGAATGTATAGAGAAGGTAAAACACGTCACGCAACTACGCTGCAGCACATAGAAAGCAAAAAGAAAAAAAAAATCACCAAACAAAAGAAAGGATGATAAGTAAATAACCAAAGAGCCTCCCAAATGGAATGATGCGTCTACTCAACGTATAAACACGTGGTTGCTCAGGAAGCAATCAGAATCCACGTTAGCGACGCAACGAGTGGCAGAAATAGACAGTAGACATTGAATAAAGGTCTGATATTCACAAGAGGAATGAATTTCATGAGAGACCTGGCCTTAGGGTTTTGTACTGCAGTGTAAATGAAGGGTAAAGGGCTATAAAGCAGAGAACTAGGACTGTAGAAGCAGTAGAATTATTGACATATAACTTCTATGCTCTAGTCACCTCTATGCAGGGAAAGACAAGGAAAGCCAATGTGAATGAAGGCAAAGAAGAAGAAGAAGAAGAAGAAGAAGAAGAAGAAGAAGAAGAAGAAGAAGAAGAAGAAGAAAACCACTATGGAACAAAAGTAGTTAAACAGAATCTAGTTGAGATGAGCGAAGGTTGTTGTGACGGGAGATAGAGAGGACTTCTCTCCAGCCAAAGGGGGGGGATAGGATAAAATAAAATTAAAACCAAGGGAGAATCAAAAAAAGAAAGAAAACGAAAAGAACAGAAAGGGAGAGAGAAGAGCCCGTTTCAAGGATGCATACTGCCACCAAGCACGCAGTGAAATGACAAGATTGATGGTAAAGGAGGGAAGAGAGAGATACCAGAGGGCATCAATGCAGTAGCCAAGTGACACTCTATCTTCCTCAGCAACGTTTTTGAGTCAAACGGACTTTTAATTCGGGATTGTACAGAACAGTATCAATGCCGCAAGTATGCGTCCGCCCAGCCTAAGGGAACTGCAGGGACTCTCGTCCTTCGTGTCCTCTGGGTTTCTTTTTAGAAACTGAGAGAAAGGAACCACAAGGAATAGATGAACTAGTGGCAGCAAACCTAACCAAATCCGAGGTGGGATAGGCTGAAAAGTACCAAGCAGAGAGAGGGTGTGTTTCAAAAATGACGGTTTCAGATAATTCCAAACGTTGGCATCTTCCGCCAGGGGAAGGAAGGGTCCGAACGAAGACAACCCACCTGGTATTTCCAAAGGAGGGGCACATGAAATCTCCTGGATTATCCGAGCGAGGATCAATGTTGACTGAAATGGAGAGAGACTAAGCATGCACAAAGCTGCAAGTCGATGGACACTCAGACGGAGAAGGATTAAGTCAATGCAACAACAGTAGTTTGAAGCTACTGTTGTGTTCCTTGACTACGAATTTCACAAAAGTTAAAAAGAATAAGAATAATAAGAATAGTAATAAAAAGAGAGAGAGACCCTTCCGTGCGGGAAGCACAGTACCCAGGCGTACGTCTCGAGCGCTAGCCGGCTAATGATAGGTGGATAATGGCACCCCAGAACGTTGGGTCAACTGACTAAAGTCGACAGGTTGCTCAGAAGTCAGAGCTGAAGCTTTAAAGGGAGGCAGGTTCAGGGTATAGGTCCGGGATGCAGATAGTGCGGTCGATCCATCCTTCCAACAGGCCATCCTGGTGTACTCCGGACAAGCGGTCCGTATGGTTACGGACACACAGGAGGGCAAAAAAAAAAAAAAAAAGACGTGCATTGGCCCTATCGAAGATAGCGGGAATGCACCTCCCGATGACTGGCAGACAGTTGAAGGTAGCGGAGATGGTAACTACTAGTAGTATGTAACTGATAACCGCAGAGTGGGGTCAAAGGCTCCGCTATTTAGCAGACGCAGACTACAATAATCCTGGAGGCTGGGTCAATGAATGAGTTTCATTATTTGGCGAGAAGGCAATGGAACGAGGACTGCAACGGCGGCCCAGTCTGTCCATGAGCCATTCATGAATTTAAACGCTCTGATCACATCCTGGTAGGTTAATCTGTCTTGTAAGAGTGTGAAATTATTAAGATAAGCGAGGAAAACAAACAAGCCCATATGATTATGACCTTGGAGGACCAACCTGAACCAAATTTGGTAGACGTAGAATACACAGCATTGAAATCACTATTACTCCGTGGCTCTGGATTGATTTTATTTTTTATTTATTTATCTTTTCTTTCCTTTGGGGATGACGGAAGGAGGGGCCGACAGCAAGATGGAACCAAGATTGCCTGCCCCCAGTCAGAAGACATCCAATGTGTGGTTGAGACGACTTAGTTCTTCATCCACATAATATGCAAACTAATGCTACCAGCGCGCTTCTGAAGCTCCGCTAGTAGGAAATCGTCATCTTAGTAGGGTGCATCGTTGTGAAAATAACAATGGACCATGCACGAAGAACCATCGGCATGCAAGAGAAGCAGCCCCCCCGCCGACTTGAATCAACCGTCAGATAGTAGCCTTGCATTCGACATCTTGTCCTCCAGTCCAGTCCTTTTAAAGTTTCATCTGTCCCTCCAAACGGACGGTGCCGGTGCAGATGCAGATTGACGTTGAGGGGATTGAACGACTGGAGAGTCCGATCTTGCTGAAGATAAAAAAGGAAGCAAACACCATTATGTTAATGGAAACAGAGTCGCGGAAGCTTTACTTCATCATCACCATCATAATCACAATCACGATAATCATAATAGACCTTGGCAGACCAGGGTGGATGTGGCGCCCGTGTACTGCTCGTATCAAATTCCAGAACCACCTGTCATGAAGAAGACTTTCATCAACGGACGCGGTAAGGTTCCATACCCCATAACATAACTACTTAGGTTTAGTATGGCGGATGTACGGTGTTGGCTTAGAAAGTCTCGGTGACTTTCTGGTAAAGCGGAATGTCCTTTTGGCCCCACATCTCAGGTACCCGGCGCGCTTGTACCAAGTAACTTGAAATCTATTACTAGTCTCTGGTACGGTACGGACGGTCCACATACTAGTACATAGGCACCACGGAGGTCGTACGAGTAGTACTTACCTGGATCTCGGTACCGTTGTTCAATTTCCTACCTTCTTCCAGACTAAGGGTGACACCGATCCCATCTTTTACCCTTGTTTGCAGGAGTTAAAATTATAGAACTCGAGTTCGACCGACTAACTACTTAAGTCGACGCACAGATGCCTGGCAGTATTGTGTCCTTTGTACCAGTAGTACCAGCACCTACAGAGAAATGTCTGCATTAGCCTTTTGCCCATATTCCACTTTCATTGGGGCGAACATAAGAGTATTCTATCAGCCGTACCGTTAAGGCTATGATCATCGTGTTACTCTTTCATGATGCAAGCAGCGTCTTCTTTTCTTTTCTCTTTCTTTTCCCTTTTTTTTGATCCCTCTCTGCGCTTGTTTCTTTCTCGTATGATGTTCTTCTTCTAGCCTATCTTCTCATTTCTGACTATTTCTAGAGTCTCTTTGGATGAAAGTTGCGTGGTACACTACTCTAGCATGTTCCAGACACCCGTTCATGCACGGGAACTCGCCCAGATTGGTTTGGCCTCCATCCTGCATGCATTCATCCCTATAACAACCCATCATTAATATTATTGATGGCACAAAGAATTTCTGCTTGTTCCTGTCATGTATTTGTTCGCTTAATTACATACCGGCCAATAATGCACCTTAGACTTCAATTTGGGATAGCCTCGCCCAATCGCTATGTGCATCAGAATAAACCCCTGTTCTGAAAGGGTACGATCATACCGGAAATGCGAACCCCACCCCTCCTTATGGCGTGTCATGCTAAATATCATTGCGATGTTCTTGCAGATCCCTCCGGTCTCCGGTGTAGTGCGCTCTCACGTACTTTTCTGCCGAACTAGATCATACCTACATGGGCAAGAGGCTTGTCCGGATTATTTGGGCCACTCACAGCCTATGAATTCTGTATTTGACTCTTGGCGGCTCTAGACTTCTCTCGAGAGCAAATCCTTTCTGAGGGTTACTTCGACTGCTTGTATTAGTCCACGCCTTCCCTACTCCATAACCAGCCCATCTGAGCATGGCAGATGAACTCCCCGGAGTATGGCCCAATGGATGAATGGAATTCCTACATAATACACAAGCATAGCTTGTAGTAACATATTGCGGCTTGGTCAACTTAATGAGACGAATCTCTGCCCTGTCTTTTCGCCCCTTTGCCATCTCCTTTCTATCCTTATTTTGTTCGGGCATGTCCCTTGAGTCTGCGAAGTAGCCACCCTGTCTTCGTCTTTCCAAGAGTCAAAGGCCGCTTCCGTTTACTTTTTGAAGCTGACAGGTTCTAGCTCTCATTCGGAAAGGCTACAAGGCACGTGAGTGCTTGTACTCGCTTGAGCCCGGTGCTCGACAATGCTATCTCTCAAGATTATGGCTCACAGATGAAACGGGTCGAGATTGCAGCTAAGGGAATCAAAAAAGAACAGGCATACGATAGAGGGGGGGGGGGGTTGGCAAAGTCTGTACCTGTAGGGCAGAACTACGGACAGATTACAGTGGCTTGGCGACGTCTGCCATGCTGTGTAGTGGTCGTCTTTACATATCACTACCGCACCACCACGGCGAAATGTGTGAAAAAAAAAGTAAGAATTGCCCTAGCAAATCAGTTAATTTTTTTTTTTGCAAGGGATCTTGTGCAACCACTTTTGCTTAGATAGGAGCTCGTTGGCTCTATCCATTTCTTCAACTGGGTGCCTCCTCGATATGTTGAGAGATCTGGAAGTGAATCATGGTGTGTACAAGGGGGAGATTGAAGTTCATACGACAGGAACAATAGTTAGGAAGAGGTTATGAATGAATCGATGAATAGTGAATAAGAATTTGGGGAAATATCTTGAGAGACCCCTCCAGTCAGATTAGAAGCGTATGAAAGCAGTCCGAGAATGGCACTCCCTCCCTTGATTCTTGATTTTTTTCTTTTTCTTCTTGAATATTTTCTTGGCGCCCGCGGGAAAAAAACGTGGACGTTGTTTGACGGCGACTGACTTCGACTTGACTTTTGGTTCAACTCGAATTATTCCATTTCTCTCATCCTCTTTCCCCCCTCATCGCTTTGCCTTCCTTCGGCCTCATTTTCTCTCTCCTCACCTACACTATCTCCTATTGCCGACCACCTACTACCACATCACACAAACACCCTCTGCCTTCTCCAGCGCATCGGCCTACTAGCTTCGATAGCCGGCGCGCGTCGTCCGTGTCGTCATGTCCCCTCATGACTACGCGGACCGTCGGTCAGAATCCGTAACAGATGCGGTAACCGCGATGAAGCTGGAACCCGCCGGAGCCACAGATACTCCCGCTCTTAACGGCGGAAGCACCTCGTTGAATGATGACCCCAATGGCGCGTCCCGCTCGCCTTCTGTACAGAATATGATGGTACGGTTAATTCACGCTCCTCGTCCCAAACTCTTGTCGAAAAGCAAGTGGAGACAGAGCATACTGCAGATATGGAAGAGAAAGTCGGGGGCGACATCACTGTCAAACAAGAGCCTGGACAGCCACCTAAATTGACTCGCAGCTCCTCCCAGAAAGTTGTTGCGCGGCCACCACAGCTATTCTCGCACCTTCGAGATAGTACGGCGGAGGCCCAGGCGTCCTTTGAGCTGATGGACAGTTGCACTTATGCAAACAAGTATATGGGCTATACTGAACATGCGATGGAATGTGATTGTGCTGAAGAATGGGGTAAGTTACGGCTTTTCCTTCTCTTGTCGACTTCCTTATCTTATTTCCTGCCTTACTCTCATTTCCTCTCTCGCTTCCTCTACCTTTCTCTTCAAATGCGCGTGATCAGCATCGAGCCTTAGCGGCAATATACTAAGCATGCCAATTTCTTTGTACGACCCTGGTTACTTCCCCTAGGCCTTATCTCACTATGGCTTGGTCTATATTGCCATTATGATTCCCTCATTTTCGCCGCATGATTGTTAACTAGACACTACTTCAATGCAAACCAGAACCTACCCTCTCCAAAAATCTGGCATGTGGAGAAGATTCCGACTGTATTAACCGGGCGACCAAGATTGAATGTGTGGGCGATTGTGGGTGCGGACCGGATTGTCAAAATCAAAGATTCCAACGAAAGGAGTATGCCCAGGTAGCCGTGATTAAGACGGAAAAGAAAGGGTTCGGTCTGCGTGCCGCGACCGATTTGCGACCGCACCAGTTTATCTACGAGTATGTAGGCGAAGTTATCAACGAAGGCCAGTTCCGGCGGCGCATGAGGCAGTACGACGAAGAGGGGATCAAGCATTTCTATTTTATGTCCCTCAGCAAAGGTGAATTTGTTGATGCGACAAAGAGGGGTAATCTAGGCCGTTTTTGTAACCACTCGTGCAATCCAAACTGCTATGTCGACAAGTGGGTAGTTGGGGAGAAGCTCCGCATGGGTATCTTTGCTGAACGAGACATTCAGGCCGGGGAGGAATTAGTTTTTAATTACAATGTCGACCGTTACGGAGCTGATCCTCAACCTTGCTATTGCGGAGAACCGAATTGTACAGGCTTCATTGGTGGGAGAACCCAGACAGAACGTGCCACGAAGTTGTCGAATGCCACCATTGAAGCCCTGGGCATCGAGGATGCAGACGGCTGGGATACGGCGGTGGCGAAGCGGCCACGCAAGAAGAAGATGGGCGAGGATGACGAAGAGTATGTGGATAGTGTCCAGCCGAAGTCTTTGGAGGAGAACGGCGTCACCAAGGTTATGGCGGCTTTGATGCAGTGTCAGGAGAAGTGGATCGCGGTTAAGCTTTTGGGGCGGATCCAACGCTGTGACGACGAGCGTGTTCGCAATCGTGTGGTGAAAATGCATGGGTACCAGATCCTCAATTCGCAGCTCACCATGTGGAAGGACGATTTCAATGTTGTGCTGCAGATTTTGGATATCCTGGATAAGTTTCCGCGCCTCACGCGGAATAAGATCATTGATTCAAAAATAGAGGTTACTATCCAGCCACTGACAAGCTGTGGCGACGAGCGTGTCGAGAAGAAGGCAGCTACACTTCTGCAAGTCTGGTCGACCTTGGAAGTAGGTTATCGGATTCCACGCATGAAACGAGATCCGAATGCTACCGCCCAAGCTGTCAATCAATTTGAACGGCGGGAGACCACTCGAGATCAACGACGGCGGTCAAAGTCCCGCAGTCGGTCAAGGTCGCGGTCAATTGAGCCCCCCCGGGGGCCTGCAGCTCAAGCTCGAGGGGGATACGGACAGAGAAACCCTCACCATCACGGTCCCAGGTCATTTCGTCGTCAGTTCAACCCACTTCCAACAGGATGGTTCGCCGCTGAATCAAATGGTCGGACATACTATTACTCGGCGCGTGGAGATACCACATGGACCAGACCAACTAAGCCAGCACCTCAACCTCCTCCACCTCCGAAAGAGTCGAGAGACAAAGCACTACAGGACATTATCGATGGCATCGTGAATGCTAAGGAGAACACGCCTAAGGAGAAAAGCGGTACGCCTGGCACGCCGCAAGTATCTAAACCAGTTCCCGTCAAGAAGGAGGGACAGGAGAAATGGAGGGGTTATAGTGAAGATAAACAGAAGAAGGTCTATGAGAATACTGTGAGTATCAATTCATATATAACATATGAATGAGAGGGCTAATCTTACATCAGTTGTTCCCACACATAAAGTATGTAGTGGATAAATTCAAGCATAAGCTTCCAAAAGAGGACTTAAAACGCTACGCCAAGGATGTAAGTCCCATTGACTAGAGTATACGATACATACATATTAATACCACCCGCGCATAGGTGGCCAAAAAACTGGTCAACTCTGACTTCAAGAATAACCGAGTCGAGGACCCTACGAAAATCAGCGAAAGGCAGCAGAAGAAAGTCAAAAAGTACTGCAAGGAATTTTTCGACAAAGCCGTCCTAAAGCACCGAGCTTACGAACAACGGAAGGCTGAAAATCAAGCGAAGGGAATGGACTCAAAGATCGAAACGGCTCAAGCTGCAAGTGACGATGAGGCGCTAGATATGAAGATGTCCGATGAGGAGGAGGACAAGGCCGATGAGAAAGACACGCCCTTGACTGCAGAAGAACTCCAGGGAGGTATAAAACGGAAGAGAGAGGAAGGTATTACAGAGGATTCCGCCTTGGACGAGTACGTTTCATCCTCGAAGAGACAAAGATCCTCAACGCCACTGCCGCTACCGCCGCCTCCAATAAGTCCTGAAGATGACCTGCAAAACATGGATAGTGCAAAGAAAACCCTAAGAGATGATATTGATAGTAGGAGTGAAAACAACGAGTTCACTCCACCACCTCCCCCTCCCCCTCCACCAGATGATGAGATCCCTAGCGAATCCCCAGAATCGGATCACGTCATGGATCAATCACCATCTAAAGCTGAGTATACCACGGATATGAACAAGCTCGAATCATCTCAACCTGGGATTGAAGGAAAGGTATTATAACGGGAATACCGAGCTACCCCCACAAAAAAAAGCAACTTAATATTCTTATCAGCATTTTGAGCTGGTGTTCACGGAGTTGATTCCGGCAGATTATTTATGTTAAGCCCGGGTTCTGATTTTTGTCCGCGCTTCTCTTAAACATGCTTCGCACTGTTTTCTCCCTATCGACTCGCCCTCTATGTTTCTTTTTTCTTGTCTTTTCTTTTCTTCTTCGCCTTAACGCTTTTGTCTTATGTACCCTTTCAATACCCCTCATACCCACTAGTGTTGTCGCATACTTTTTAACAATATGCCAGCAAGGAACATACTAGAACAGGAGGCAAATCAAGCACCTAAACCTGTATAATTAGTCAACTTCAGATACGTCTCTACGTATACTATTCCGACTACTATCAGAATAGAATGTTGGGTTGGGTTTTGGTAGACAGACATCTCTACCAATCATATAGCCAAATTTCAAATTCCGCATACAGGATATCACTTCACTTGACACTAAGTACTTTCTATATTGACTATGGCTGAGGTACCGGGTGCTATTTCGGTCGTTACCGGGTCGTTAATGACCGTGTCCTATTCAATATGTAATCAAGAACTAGAGACAGGCTAGATGAAGCATCTCGCATTGTAAACGTGTATGCGCACAAGGCATGCACATTAATATACGACAATTCTGAGTGAATAAATCCTAAATAATAACACCGCCCATGATGATAGCCTAGTAGAAACTCTCCACAATGCTCTCCTTGTTAGCATTGCCCATACCGGCACCGCGAGGGCCCATTTCTCCTAAGCGGAACACGCTTTCAATGACACTCAACTCTGTCGCCGTCGTATCCAGGCCCGTTACGGCCAACCAATCGTTGACAACCATACCAGCGCCAACAACAGCACTACCACGATTCACACTACCAGCGACGAGAGGCACCTGGAGGAGAGAGGAGAGCTCGTCCTGATCACGAATCGAGGTCTTGGGGTGCACGATACCACCTTGGTTGGAGAGAGCCATGTATGAGCCCGTCAGGACATTGTCAGCAATAGTTTGTCGGAAAACTTCGACCCCAAGGACGTCGGCGATTCTAAAAAGATTTGTCAACACTTTAATTCCGCGTCATATAGTAGTCAAAGCGCAATGGTGGTGGGGGTAGTACATTTCTTCTGTTTCTCGCTCCAAATCCGGATGTATCAAGGCGACATGGTCATTGCAGCAGATGACATTTCCCAGAGCTGATAGACGCTCTTCTATCCGTTGAATCTTAACCGATTCTGGGAGCGTATTCCGGAGATGCTGCAGTTCCTGATCTGTGGTGGTGGTTGGGACTAGAAGGCCATTGCGATTACTAATCGATGTGTGAGTCCCATTGTACTATGGCATAAGGGCTAGAGCAGAATATCTAGTGAGTTTTGAGACATACCCCGCTGTTAGACGGCCAACAATCCTAGTACCAGCAATAGTAGCGCGACAGATGGGGATGACATCTTGGAGTTCGGCCTCGAATACACTGCGGAAGTCAGTTTGCTAGTTTGCGGGGCCTGCGTACAACTGCACATACCTGTAAAAGTTCTCCGAGGCTCCGATAGCGACAACAGCATATGAATTTGTGAGACGAGAAAAGACGCCAACCCTGCATGGTGAATATCACAGTTAACGCCTGTACATAGCTATTTTTATTTATTTCTCTCTCTTTCTCTTTCTTTCATTCTTTTTTTGTTTCGTTTCCCCTATTGTTCCTTCTCTTCTTTTTTTTTTTTTTAAAAAAAAGGAAAAAACCAATTTGCATTCAGAGGGGGGGAAAATCTTAGCAACTATATTCCACTCACTCGTTGGAGTTCTCAAACTGCGCGCGAACCGCCATAATTCAAGGTTTTCGATCGTGCCCAAGCGATAGCCTCAGTTTAGGAAGATTAAGGATTACTCGTAGTAGGGAAGAGACAGGTGATAATCTCGAACAATGAGGCGAGGAGGAAGATGGGAGACTCTGCGAGGTGGGGTGGGCGATGAGAGGCAGAAACTGTCGTTAGATGGCCGTCACAGAGAACGGGGAATGTGCGAGGATGAGCAGCACCCGTGACAAGATTCTGGTAGGAGCAATTGACGGCTAACACTCAACTGATATAGGAATTAAACTGTCCGAGAGAAGTTACGAAGCAACGCAAGAAAAGATCAATGCAAAGGAAAAGCAGCCTCAGATCCCACCACCCCACCCGCGGGGCTAGACCCAATCGGGGCGGAGTCATGGCGAAGAGTCATGAGAGGAGTCATCATTATTCATTCTGATGCTGGGTGGGTCTGCTTCCCACCTCTGTCGAGTTTTTTGCATCCTTCATTCTCCTCCGTTGTTGATCTTTTCTTTCTTCTTTCTAACCAAGGGAAATCAATTATACCAATCAATGAGATTCAAGTATGAGCTATGTTCTTGCGTGTAAAATACATCCGGTTCGTATTGCACCTATATTGATACACATAGGGTATGCATGATACCACCACATCAACTGTAAATACTACTATCTTGGGATATTACATCAAGCCCACGCTCCAAAGTCTTCTCAACCACCCGTATGATAAAACCAACAAGATAAGAAGAGACAAGAAAAGGAAGATAGAAAAACCACTGCCTAATCAGCACATAACTCCCAACATGAACCAGCATTACTGTTTTGGCGTAGACCGTAGCTCCGTATTGATATCAAACCCTGGCAGATTCAAAGAATATAGCATGTCTGCAAAACAGGACAAAAGGAAACAAAACATTTATTGTGAGAAAATGAGCAGAAAGTCGTATCATCCATTCGTAACTGTCTAATATGGAGGGCGAGGGCCAGGTGGCGGGGCTGTAGGCGGCGGTGGCGGCGGATAATACAAACTCTGTGGATGATGACTCGTCAAGTAATTAGGCAGCGGAGGCCGTTGGAAGTTAGACCCTGGAGGAGGGGGGAGCTGTGGAGGTCCACCCCTACTCGCGAATGGATCTGGGAGACCGAGTTGCTCACTGATGGGCGGAATTTGCTGCCCAGCAGGGAGGAGCCGACGGGGCTGTTGCCGTTGGGGTGTGGGGGGCGGCAGCACGAAAGATCGAGGATCTGTCGGCCCGTGAGACACCTGTGAAGGCTGCGGAAGGAGAGCTCTGTGTGCCGAAAGCCGTGATGTGGTTTGGGGTAAGGTAGGACGAGGGAGCTCAGCGGCTGCCACATCGGCCAATGCGAACAAGGCCGTCGGGCGCGTATCAGGGAAGGCAGGGTTTAGCTGATTCTCTACACTGGCTTTCTGGCGCACTTCAACGATATCAGTTGCCTCTAGTAAGAGGTCTATGATTTCTCGAGCAGAAAAGCCAGCAAACGGTCCAGCTTCCCTCATTTCCTTCATCTGTGGGTCGATATCATCGCCTAACTTAGCACGCTGGACGAAATCGTCCCAGCCATACCTAGCACGGTCGTAGGAAGCGGCTCCAGCAGGATTCCGTACGAAGGAAGAATTGAACCCCCTCACGACTTCCTTTGCTGGTGGAATAACACGCTCAGGCTCGGTTTCAGAGCCATCAGTCTGGGACGGTGTTAGCCTATTGCATTTGTATAATGACCCTGAATAAAGAGCCGACATACTTCAGTGTGCTCATCATCCTCCGCAGCACGTCGGCCTTCCACAAATGCCATATATTCTCCCTGGCTTGCAAAGTAATGTTCTTCTTTGATGTACCGGGCTGACGCCTGTAATCGTTTGTCATCAGCAGCAGCTCCAGAAAGGAAGAAAATCGAATGAAATCGGACGTACTCGAAATCTTTCCTCGATTGCTTCTCTATTAGCAGCGAAAAGCCTATTTTCTTGCTCAACTCGGAGCTCATATTCATGGCGGAAAACATCCAGCCTCTCTTCGAGCCTTGCCTTCAGGAGTGAGTTAATTTCTTCATACTCGGGTACATTTCTGTGGGTGTTCTTATCGCGGGAGAGCTTTTTCTGAGACTGTGAAGCTAAAACAGCCAAAGCCAATCGTTGGGCAGCCGCCACCTTCCTAAATGCTTTATCCAGTTCTCGTTGTCGATCCCGGAGCTTTTGGGTGGCTGCACTAGGAGAGGGAGAACGGTCATGCTCGACATCACTTGACCGATCATATTGACGCCCAACACGCCCACCACGAGCAGCACGAGCACCGCCACGGCCTCGCTTGCTTGAGCCGGAGCGTGCTGCAGCTCTGCTACGCCCACCGCGGCCTCGTCCTCGACTACGCCCGCCACGAAGTGCCTTCCCAACTGTGGGCTCTGCGGCATTCTCCGGAGTAGATTCTTCAATATCTTCCGTTATTTGGCGGGAGTCATCGCCAGTTTTAGAATCTTCCACCTCATCATCGGGAGAGCGCGACGCATTTTTGATATCGGTACTTCCCTGTAACGTTTGTTCTGCCGTACGATCGAGCTCCCCATCCTCCACTTTCAATATTTGGCGAGGAAGATCCAGAATACTGGTAAACTCTGCAGTACCTTTGTTTTCTGGCTCCGAAGATCTGCGCTTTCGAGATCCAGATGAACAGGAAGTTTTCGCAGGACTAGGCATACCCTCGATCTCCTGGATGCTCACCTCATTCGTTTCATGGTTGTCCTCCTGGTACGTGGAGCCCGCCAGTAACTCTCCTGCAGCTTGAGTTGATTCCATGGATTCATGCGGGTCTTGATCGCCTTCTGTTTCTTTAAGTCCTTCGATGGTTTCTGGGATAATGTCTTCCGGGGATGGAGGCCTCATATCGGTGGTTACGTTAGAGTTCACACTGCTTTGAGTAGTTTCAGGTGCAGCATCCACAGATTGCCGGCTTCTATTCCTAGTTCTACTACTAGGAGTAACCCCCTTGGAGGGGCTTGCTTCGAACTGTTTGGTAATGGCTACTTCAGAGGAAGCGTTATCGTTAAAAGAGGGGTTGACGTGAGACCGCAGTCTAGCAGACTGTCTCGTACTTCTTGGAGTTTCCTCGACTGCTGGACCTCGTCTGACCCTCTTAGACCGCGGGGTTTCAGGCACATTCAAGGCTGTTCCGTCAAACTGACTTGGTGCGGGTACGGGTGCCGCAGCTGCAACAGGGGCTGCAGCGCGAGTTCGAGAAGCCCGAGTCTCACGAGCGGCATTTGATGGGCTATTCGTTCCATTGTTTGCTGCGTTATTCAATGCATTTCTGGCAGCGCTGTTGGCTCGAGCAGCACGGGTACTGAGCGTAATTATACGCGACAAAGGGCGACTATTACTACTCCTATTATGCATTGGGTGGATTGTGCTGTTCTTGTTGTTATCAGTGTGGTTCGCCCGCGCATCTTGACTTGCACGTAGACTCCGTGTCACGCGGATATGAGCAGTATCACCAACAGTAGAGTCTATGTAGCGATCAGTACCTACGAACGATGATAGCAGTTCTCTGTAATACTTACTAGGCGTCTTTGGAGGGGCTGCGCCTGTTGCGCTGCCAGTAGTCGCTGCAGCTGATCCTTTGGTGGAATCAAGTTTACGTTTAATGCCCGCCATCACAATTCTCTGTATCCGGGCGTCAGCAAGAGCGTGGTCACAAGGAAGATTGTTGAGAAGGTGCAATTGACAGCTAAGGTGGAGCTTTGGCAAGAAACAGCTCCTTGGAAGTGTCCAACGATAAGCTAGAGAAAACAAGAAAAAAGAGAAGGCGGAGACGGAGACCAACATCAATCAGGCACACATTTTGATAAGAAGGTTCAGTCAGGAACAAGAGGGGGGAATATAGCTAGCTGAAAGGTGGCACACGTATACTAGAGGATAAGAACATATGAGGGAGGGGGCCACTCAGGATTAAGAACAGATAGTAAACCGAGGTCATAAAGATAATAAGGGCATCATGGTACAGGGATAGAAACCGATTGAGAGCATAAAAAGCTTAACCGGATATGAGTAAATGGCCCGAAGCGCCGAGTGGATGAGTGTGTTAAAATGACAAGAGCGCATTTTGATTGAAGAAAAAACCGCAGGCAAAGAGATAGAGGGAGGAACAGGAAATAAGCGCAAGATTAAAAAGGCCAATGAAGAATGCTGGTAGAATATTAGCTTACCCAAAGACTAGGTGCGACGGCACATGCGACAGGACGGAGAGAGTTGTTGCAAGTAGTGAAGCAAGTAGGAGTAGTAAGTAGTAAGTGGATGAAGTAAAAAGTGGTTCGGCCAAGTGGATCACCTTGAGAAAAGGTAAAGTAGAACTTAGTCGCCGGAAGTAGTAAGTCAAGTAGGAGAACGGGTTGTACGAGGAACCTGGGCGCTCCGGAAGGATCAGGAATTGAGGAGATAGAATTTACGGAGTAGAAAAGAAGAACTGAAGAATGCAATCAGGGTCGGAGAGGAGAAAGGGAGACGAGGATATACTGGAGATGAAAATTAGATCACGATGGCTGTTGTACACCAAGCGTGTTGATCTTCATAAGTGGAAACTCGAAACGGCTCGATCGAGGAACGGAGAGAATAGAAATGGAGAATAAAGAGATAAAGAGGGGGAAAAGAGGATTTCAGATTCTAGGAGAGGAAAGAAACACGTAGAGAGTCCTCGTTGTGTTAATAAGGCAGAGGGAAAATGAAGCGAAATCAAGCAACTCCGGGGCTGAATAGTACGCATGGAAGTTGAAAAGGAATTCTAGAGAGGTACACAATTAGTGCCCTGCCAACCTGAGTAAGAGGTTTGGTTCCAATGGTAGCCGTATTACCGGGTTGGCCGCAGGATCTGGCTGGGTCTCAAGTCCAAAGGGCAGGGTGGCGCAAAGAAAAGTAGGTAGTAGGTGAGTAACTATTAAAAAAAAAAAAAAACAAACCTTTCTTCTTGTTCTCAGCCCTTCAATCCATTCGGAAGAGATGGGAAATATGTATGTGAAAATGGAATCCCGACGCAGATGATGATTCAGGAGATAGAGAAGACCTCAAACGGTCTGGGGTTGTGGAATGCAAGGGTGATAATGAGTTGTAGTTTTTTAGTTCTGGAAGTTAGTTACCAGAAAAAGCCTCCTACTCGGGTTTAGTCCATCTGGTAATACTCGTGGTATGGTAATTTTTGCGTGCACGGTAGTCCGCTACCTGCTGATGTAAAAAAAAAAAAAAAAAAGAAAAAAAGTAAAGAAAAGAAAATGAAATTTAGTGTTCCGCGTGCAATACCGTTACTGCCAAAGGTACGGAACTTACGTATCCTATCTCATCGATTTGTGAAGGGTAATTATTCCCAAACCACTAGATGTCTTTCTTGAAAGCATTAACAAACTCTTGAAATCTGTTCTATGAGGCTACAAGAACACCATCTATCTTGGCTAGTTTAAAGGTAGTATCTACTTCGAGTAATGTAAATCTTACCTACACTAGTACATATACCAATATATCTTGTCTCAATTGCAGAAAAAAGCATTGGCGAAAAATAAAGCAAAGAAGTGAAAGATGAGCACAGGTATTCTAGTGGAATCATGGGGTGAAACACATACTGAGCGAATATTTTTCTCAGATATTAAGTATAGGTTAGTCTGCTCCGTACCTTTGTTAATAAAACTACATCACACGCTTACGATGTACGAAGTACTATGCCTTAATAATCTGGAATCCTTCAAACACTATGAAAATTGAGCCTTCGAATGATCAAAGGAATCTGTAAGAGCGACGCCATTCCGTGACTGATATAGGCAAGGAAAGAGCAAAGTAATCATTACGACAAAAGAGAAAAAGTGGGGGAAGCTGTCATTGCTCTCCATCGGCAGAACCGTTATCAACATACTTGAGATATTGCAGCTGCGTTAGGTACGAGACCGCCACTTCAAAAAGTGGGCGCAAAATTCTTTAATGCCTTCTCACCGTCAGTTCTATCACAGTGTATTGGTAACTGCCGTAGCAAGAGGACCCACATAGATAGTATCATCAATCATGGATAGTCATGTTAGAGATACTATATCATGGGATTCACTTGGACTATCTCAAAGAGAACGGCTGGACCATTTTAGTCGCATTGTGTATGCTGAAACTGGTGTGTTACAGGACATTGTACAGTGCATTATGATCCTTGCCCTGCGGCTCGCCGAGATAAAAACCTCTCAGCATTGGCTAAAATCTTGAATTCTGGGAGGGACCTGCCATGACACTTTCCATAGCGAAATACGAGTCAGGCACTTCCTATAGTCATATCGGCCGGTAGTAATATGTCTTTATGTGGTGGTACTAACTCATGCCATGGCAGCCGTAGCACAACAGATCCAAGATTACGCCGTATCAAATAAGAAAGGCTTACTATCACTCAGTTGCTTCTATACAATTTTCGTCGGTATTATATTGCTAATTACAAAATATGTACTACACCTGGGATATCTAAGAACAAAATAAGGAGAATTGTGACAAAGGAAAGACATAAATCAATAACATATTTAAGTTGAAACCACCATTTCCTAGCTTTCATGAGGGGATTCGATCAAGTCGTACCTTTTCTCATACTGTGTTATGCTCCTTCGCAGGTCCGCAGCCATGACAAAATTTGGTATTGTGAATATCTGGTCATTGTTAGGCTCACATCGACCATCACCAAGCCCTGTCTTTGGATGCACTTCTTCGCCGGCCTGATCAATCTGCTCAAACAGGGGTGACCGACTTCGTGGAGTGTAAGACCGGAGTGAGTTAGTTGATCTCATCCTATGTAACGCTTTCATAGAGATGGTCTGTCCAGCCACCGGAGATGCAATAACGGTAGTCCCAGGCATAGCTGTAGGCGGGGGAGTTGGACTGTTAGAGCGAAAAAGTGGATGGATATTACTCTCATCGGACAGTGTTAGTTTGGGGTGACCACCTTTGGTGGGAGCCTCTGGCTGAAGTGATCTTGAAGTATCCGATGACCTCCTGAATGAAGATTGCCGTCGCAAAGTATCCAACGAGCACCTAAGCTCTGGTCTATTTCCCTGTGTCTTGCGTGACCTAGAGTCACTATCGGCCCCTATAGTGTAAATGTTATGTTCGTAGGGGCAGCTATCGAATGTATTGCGCATTACAACGCACTCAGGATAGGCTACTGGTGGATTGAGGTCAATAGAACCGTGCTTGGAATCCTGCTGGTATAATGTTCGGCCTGAGTAGCGCTTCGAGATCAAAGACGCAGCACTTGAAGTAGACTGTTGGATCGCTATCAAGCCATCACAGCTCCGCTTTTGATCTGCCGATTGCTTCGGGGAGTCAACTACAAGTTGCGGCTGCTTTGTTGACTCCAATCTGTTGTTTACAGCTAACTGTTCGTGGAGGGCATCAAGATCGTGAGGTAGCGAGGTTGACCATCTGCTGCGGCTGGTCCGTTTTGCTAGTGTCATTAGGAGAAGCCCACCAAAGAGACCCTCGGCCAGAACAGAAATTGCCCATATGACAGTACGAGTCACCAATAACAGTCGCTGTCTTGGACCTAGTGACATTATCTGTTGCTCTATCATGACCTGTGCCTTGTTCCATGCTATACCTCCAGCAGTCACTCCTGTGGCCATAACCAAGTAGACAAGCAGGATGCAATATACGCGTCTTCGGTACACGCTCAAATGCCTTATATTTTCATTGTTGTCTGTCAGCCAAAATAAGATCGTAACGACGAGTACAACACAATTCACTGCGCTCAGAGCGGTAATAGCAGATTCGATTGAGCGAATGTTAGACGAGAAGTTTTTGAAGGATGTCAAGCATAAACCGTCGAGAAGGGTGACCACAGAGGTTAACATAAAGGATACTCCCCCTAGTACGCAAGGCAGAGAAGGTCGAGGCACATTGAAATTCATAGCGATGGTAGAAAAACAAGCAGGCGTATACATTCATCGATGAATAAACCCAATAGTATACCAAGGTCCAGTGGATCCAATGAATAGCGGTGTCGTATTCAGGTGCACATAGGATCACTGTAGTGTACTTGAAGAACGGAATAGCTTAAGATGGTATCAAAATTGTAGGTGATGAGAGTATATGACAAAGAGGACCGGGGTATCATCAACGATTAGAAAATCTTCTCAGAGTAATCATATCAATGCCCTTGAGATATAAAGCAGGAGTATAATAGAAGCATAGAATATGGGTAGGTCGCAGGTGCGTATTAGATTAAACCGTAACCAGAACACTATGGAAGTAAGATATATGTCCGAGCGAGAATTTATATCCAAGAGTAACTGGAGAGCCTGAAGCCTATCTATTAAAATTAGGTAGAGAGTAGCGGGGGGAAGAAGTTCCCCGTAAGTGATTGCATTAAGACGCATACAATAGCCCGAATGGATATCGCATATGCAAAGACTAGGGCTAAAGTGACAGGGGTAGATCTCAATTCCACCTAGTTGGGACTCTCAGATCGCGCTATCTTTCGTTAGAAGGTATGGCTGGCAGTGACAGCTCCTATTTTAAGTGAGAAATGAAACAAGAAAAAAAGAGAGGGAGGGAGAAGGGGGGGAGAAGGGGGGGAGAAGCCCTCTCCTGGCACATTAATTACCCAGGCTCTATACATAAAATTAACACAAAGGCCTTTCAACCAACACAGTATAGCTGCTTGGTCCTTGTAGGTAAAACCAATCTTTCACTCAGATTAGCAACTCTTTTTATCTATGATAGGACTGATTGGGAACAAGAACATGGTTCAAGTGGTTTACACACATGGCAATAATCACAGATATGCCTTTGAGTCAGTAAGAACCACTAAAGCCACAGTTACAATGTATATTCCTGGCAGGATATGCTAGCGCGTGGAACACGTCCAGAAGGGAATTTGTCAAGGGTTGGTGGCTTCATGGGTGAAGCGGGCGGGACGATCTCCAGGGTGCCGGAACAGTCTTAAAGGTCTGACCGTCCAGTTAGATTTCAGGATACTGGATAATATCGATAAACGCCCCGATTCATGGATGTGATATATCTATCGTCTGGGGACTGGATCAAGAGCTGAAGAACCCTGGACACAAGCGATGACGTTGATGTTGTTCAACACTATTGATGTAACGATGGTGATAGAACGTATGTTTATAGCTAGTATCTCCAGAGACCAACATTGTCATAATTAAGTCTTGTGAGATGTATGTTGCTACTGGGCTACAGTAGCAAAGTATATTTGGGAAGCATGTTAGTAGTCCTTTAGCGCTTAGAACAAAAAATCAAGTGTGATAGATCCAAGAGATATATCACAGGTGTCCCGTCCCGCGAGAATGGTGAATCAGAATTTTACGCAAAGTTAATCCTACACATGTGCCTTATTGTTCTATTCTATACTCCCTCAAGGCCCTCCACTTTCTGAAACTTTTTTTCTCCCCTCTTTTATATTTTTACTTTTGTGTGTGGTTTAAGTTAACCCTTTCATGTTTTTCTTAGGTCTTCGTTCCACTTATATAGTATAAATTACAGTACATTTCCTTGGACTACTACTAGTAGTATGCTGGCGGTCTGGCCGCTAGTAGCATACTCAAACATCCTTATCCGTCGCAGCGCTGACCCCCAGATTGAGTAGGATATTCTGGAGTACTTTGCCTTTTTGATAGCATTTTAGATCATGAAAGTAAAAGCCTCTCGCTACCCATGTTGAAATAGCCTACTGGTACGAAGTACAGAGTAGCCTACCCGAACAAGCAAATGTGGCTGGATGTAAAGTAATGTGGCTATGGTGGCTATGAAAGTGTGGCTTGACTGAGATGCCGTGACCGCCTCCAGGCTAACTTCCCCCCCCAAATCGTCATGGATTATCATCATCATTGTTCTTCTGGCAATTCTTCAGTTCTCTAATCCCCTCATTCGGATCCCCATATCTCCTTTTTCTACCTCCAAGGACTGGGCAGCGTATTTATCACCGTATTCACATCTTTCTGTGCCTCCTCCTATCCAACTTTTCTAGCCATCTTCAGTCCTCGGGTGGCGCAAGATGAAGCTTACATTTAAAGTAGGCATCTCCAACACCCCGCCCGTTCCTTGATAACTGGAGCTGACAACCATCTCTCATCTACTCCAGGATTTGAAACAGCAGAAGTTTGTAATTGATGCAGAGCCCTCAGAGACGGTAGGTTATTCGCCCTAGGTGCCGATATCTTGTCTGTGTCAATGCGGGGCTAATGAAATCTCCGTTAGGTTGGGCAAGTGAAAGAAAAGATCTCCAAGGAGAAGGGCTGGGATGTCCCCCAACTGAAACTGATCTACTCTGGTTCGTCCATAATCACTTGTCCGTTATGATTTCGCTGCGTCGGTGTCAGATGGTGACTTGGTCAAGTTTTCCTACATGACAAGTTGCTAACCGTCTCCCAACCCTACAGGTAAGATTTTGCAAGATGACAAGGCGATCGAATCGTACAACATCGAAGAAAAGGGCTTCATAGTATGCATGGTCTCCAAGGTAAATTATACAATGGCGCCCCTTTGTATATATCAAGCCATTTAACCGTGTTATGTAGCCCAAGGCCTCCTCATCTACAGCCACTCCTTCGCAACCCCCCTCGACACCTTCGAGAGCTGCCGCCTCGACCCCAGCTGCGCCCCCTGCCCCGGCTCCATCTACAAACGCTTCCGCATCAGCCCCACCGGCGACCCCTTCCCCTGCCGGGGCTACACAGCCATCCGATGCTGCTTTCAATGATCCCTCTGCTTTGTTGAGTGGCTCTCAGGGCGAGGCGGTTATTTCTCACATGGAGAGTATGGGGTTTCCAAGGGATGATATTAACCGCGCTATGAGGGCTGCTTTCTTCAATCCTGACCGTGCTATCGAATATCTTCTAAATGTGAGCTTTGCACATCAACGCTCCCTAAGCGCGATACACTTTAGCTGATGATGCCTATTACAACCAACAGGGAATTCCAGACAACATCCAACAGGAACAGCAACAACAACAGCAGCAGCAGGCTGCCGCTGTCACCGCTGCTTCACCTCAGCCTCCCGCTGCTTCCGCTGGGGAAACCGCCCCTGCGACAACTGGTGGTGAAGAACCAGTCAACCTGTTTGAGGCTGCTGCTCAGGCGGGTACCCAGGAAGGCGCCCATGGGGCACGCCCCGGAAGTGCAGCCGGCGAAGGACTTCCGAATCTTGACTTCCTTCGGAATAACCCACATTTCCAGCAACTTCGCCAGCTAGTCCAGCAACAACCGCAAATGCTCGAGCCCATCCTTCAACAAGTCGCGGCCGGTAACCCTCAGATCGCCCAGCTCATCGGCCAGAACGAGGAACAATTCCTACAGCTCTTGAGCGAAGAAGGTGATGGTGCGCTTCCTCCTGGTACACATCAGATCCATGTCACCGAGGAAGAAAGAGATGCCATCGAACGTGTAAGTTTGCCTCATGCCTCATGCCTCTTAGACGCTTATTTATCATATACTGGATAAAAGGCTAATCTAGTTTAGCTATGCCGCCTGGGATTTTCCCGAGATTTGGTCATACAGGCTTACTTTGCATGTGACAAGAACGAAGAGCTTGCTGCCAACTTTCTATTCGAGAACCCTGATGATCCTGAAGACCTATAATTCAACACCAGAGTACCCCCCGTCGAAGGCTTCCCCACAACAAGTTTGCTGCGAACCTAGTGCTGCTCTTTCCTCCTAAAGGAAACTGCAATGCACCTCCTTGCCGAGTTCCCTACCGAAGCCGGGTTTTATCATGACTGGCACAGCTTCGCGTGCTCAGCACACGGATTCACTAGCTGTCACTACTTTCCTCAGTTACGTCTTCTCATCATTCTATCTCATGGATGACATTTGTAGCGGTGTTCCAACATACGGTAGTAGTCGTTATCTATTTTTCCTTCTATTTTCCCTCCTACTCAGAAGTGACATTTTATCGTGTGCCTAGTTAATGGAACAAAAATGAGATACGTTTGAACCCTTTTCCTTCCCTGTGGTTCTTAGAAAGATTATCGCTTGAGATGAATGTGCTGGTTGGTAAATCGAACCCGGTTTTGTAATATTGAAAATATATACCTCCAGATAGTAGCTAAGATCAGGATGAGTCTATTTTGCACGTTGATTGGTACATTAAACATAGGGGTGACTAACTCCTTACTACTCAGTACTACTACTACTACTACTAGTACCTACAGCAATGTACGGTCCCATGACCCCACGCTGCGTTTGGGGGCCCTCTTGAGTGTCGGTGACCTACGTCACCGGATCAGCAAATGCCGCTCAGAAATTTTACAGTGATGCTTTGCTCTTTTCACAAAGACCAGAGTGTGCGTGCAGTATTTGCTATAACAAGTGTAACTCGGCTTAAATAGAACACGATACACATGCCATTAACTGCACTGGTGGGCATATAGGGAAATCAGAGGCAGTTGCATATTTCGCGGAAGGTACTAGGAATAGTTAGATGCTGATCATCGAGGTCGCTTAACCCAGAATGTCCGAAACAAGGGGATGAGAAGAGGACAAAGGATTGGTGGTTGGAAGTTTGTCATTTGTGAACTTTACATCATTATGCGTCTGATATTTTAATGCCATAAGATGATTAATCTTCAATTACACTCTGCCCTTTCAGCTCTCCACACGGCCAGTCCGCGCCTGCCAATCACTCGCCTCAATGTCGAATAGACACCGTCAGTGCCGAAGTCTAGATCATCTAGGTTGATGTGTTTCCTGTAAGACCAGAGTTCGTGTAGCTCTAGAGCTGAGCTAACCGATGACGAACTCAGCGAAGAGGTATATTGATCAAGAAAAGCAGCAGACTTGGGCGCAACCACGAATACTGAGTCAACTTTCTTCGACCCTTCATTGTTGCAAGACGGGAGCAGTTTTTCCAGCTCCTCAACCAAATAGGGTCCGGGAACGCCCATTAAGTCTCGAGTTTCGATGTTCAGGAACGAATTGTTGTTAGTTCCCAGTAACCATAATGGGGGAGAATACGTTTTCCACCAAATGACTGTCGCAGAGACACCAGTGCTCTCTCCTGATGATGCAGAACTTGATTCAACACTGCTGGCCGATATGATAGAGGGCATTGCAAGCTGAGCAGGTACAACCCCCCCCTGGTGATAGATGCCCATTAAGAATCCCAGAGCAGCATTAAATACCATCCAGGCGGCCAGGAACAAACGCGACTTACTCACACGGAAGCAACTGAGGAGAAGAGGGACACATGGTATTAAGAAGCGCGGCTCTTGGTGGGGGAAGATCGACAATATGACAGTTGCTGATAAGGCGGAGATAGCACGCGCGTTCTTCAGCCAGGCTGGGATAGCTGGCAAGCTCCACAATGATACAGCCATCATACCATATGCAGGCCCAAGGAGCTGCGGCAAGTTGACTAAAAAGTGTTGATAACGAGGGTGGAGCCCATGAAGCGCTAAGTTCAAACTATCGGAGTTATAAAGCAAATTGTTGACGGGTGTAATTATCGGTGAGTGGAGGACATCCCACAAAGATGCAGAAGGCCTATAGAAGGCGGTATCAACAAGAACAGCGATTCCAAAAAAGAATATGCCGAATCCCACAAAGGATAATAATGAGACCGGCCTAGGTGTTCGAGAATAGTTTAGTATAGAAAGAAAGAACTACCCTCACGGGGATACTGACTTGTGCCGAAAATGAGGCAATAATTGAAGTCCTGGGATGGCAATAAAAGCTGGAAAAGTGATTCGATTAAAAACGCCAGCGACGGCAATAAAGGCCAGGACAGCACAGGAGAAGACGGATGAGCGGCGCTGCAGACGACTATTAGCCTATCGATAATCCTTCTTCCTTGACTTAGGTGTGATGAACAGACCTTATTCTCGACAATCCGGCGAATCAAGACCAGACCCCAAGCAACCAACAACGTCTCAAGGGAGTTGGAGAAGGTGTGCGTCTGATATGTCCAGGTGACGTACGAGGATGCGACCAGCACCACGGTCGCCCGACGGTGTCGCGCAAAAGGAACTAATTCATATACAGCCCAGTCCTCCAGCACAAAGCTCAAGAGAAACATGATCCCTCGCAGTACATAGTAGATAAACTGTGGAGGAGGGGGTGTCGGGGCCCCTGTTTCGGCATAGAACCATTTAAGAAGGCTTATTGGCACGTCGTAGGTCGGCCATAGCGGAAAGACGCTGCGGATCGGCTTATCGGCGGTAAATTCCCATGGCAATTTGGATGGGTAGGAGAGGACGCGACCTGAGGAGCTTAGTTGAGTCCTATGAAAGATGGTTTAATGCGGAGGTATGTTTTGCTCGTTGGAGGCCAACGAAGCGCGGGACCTGCCGGCAGAAGGAAGCCGCGGTGATCAAAAAAAAAAAAAA